ACTGTACCCACCCCCCCACCCCCAGAGGCTCCTCCTCCTGGCACCTTCACATTCCTCCGCAGCGAGTAAAAGGAATAGGCTTGCTTTTTGGTTAATAAAGTAGAATAACATTTATTTTTTTCTTAAAACTTTATTTTACATGCTGTAATCATGGAAACTCAAATTAGATATAAATTATGTCCAGCTGAGCTGGTTACAGGTCATGGTTAGCATGAGAAGAGTTAAGCGGAAGCTTTCTTTTCCTTGTAGGTTGCCATCATTTTCTTGATTTCAGCAATAGCTTTCCCTGGATTCAGCCCCTTGAAAAAAGAGAAGAGAATCAATACCAAATGGTAGTGAAACTGAATGGAAGAAGTGATGCCCTTGGGCGGAACCCTCCCCCAGCTGGTGCAGTGTCCAGGCACTGAATGCAAACCAGGCCCTCTAAAACCCAGAGGCCGGGCTAGGAACTCTCTCTGGTCTCTCCTTCCAGATGTCTACCCAGTTCTCTCTCTGGCAAGGGCCCTGTCTTGTTTTATTCCTGCTGGTGTGCCTCACTGTGGCAGGCAAAGGAGCCCAGGGCAGAACCATGTTCACTGAATGCTCAAAGACATCTAAGAAAGAACTTCTATGACTACAGCTGGTGTCACAATTAGCCAGACGTCTCTACAGGTTTTACACATTCCCACGATCTTTAACTCATCTCCAGAAACCAGCACATACAAGCTCCCAAAGCTGTGGAAGAGGCTCTGGTCCCTCCTGCTCCAATGACCGAGTCTGCTCTCTGCCGTCTGCCCTGGAGCAGAGGCCATCTGTCACTGCAGCTCTGAGGCCGCCGGCCTGCATACCTTGGGACAGGTCCTGGTGCAGTTCATGATGGTGTGGCAGCGGTAGAGAGAGAAGGGGTCCTGCAGCTTGGCCAGGCGCTCCTCCGTGAACTCGTCTCTGGAGTCGATCATCCAGCGATAGGCCTGGGAACCGGGGGCTGATTAGCTGAGCTGTCAACCTACCGGGCCAGAGCAGCCTCTGGCTCACCTCACAGCTTCAGGAGCGCAGGACAGGGAACTCTCTCAGCGTTGCCGCCCTGTCTGCACACTCTTAAATTCTTGCCACCTTTCACGGAAAGGCTCCCAACTCTTCCTGAACTCCTCTTGACTAGTGATCCCCACAAACCTGTGAACCACAGTGCACCTGGCACCCTGGGGCTTAAGTGTACGCGACCAGGCATCGTCTTCTAATTATTACGTTGCTCATTAGCTTCCTACCCAGGTTATGAATTAGTGTAGGCAGGGACTGTGTAAAATGACTCTTTATCTATCTTCATAGCACCTACTCCCTGTCTCTGAGTAAACTGATGACTTCACAGCCCTGTCTAGAGATCATCTTTGCTTCACTTACTGATTCCTTTAATTAGTGTATGCCTCCCAGAAGCCTGAGACCAGCCAGCTGAAAACTGACTAACCTCCCCATCACCGGACCTGCTCTGCAGTGTTACTGGAGGACTTCTATGTCCCCAACAACTCAGGTCACCGGCTCGAGGGCCAACTATGAATGCACCTCGTTGTCAAACTCTACCATGGTTGGGAATCAACACTGCCACATGGTCGCACAACCACATAACTTCTCTTTTTGTGGGAAAATGAGAAATGTTAAGTTGTTTTGTGAGCTGCTTAAGAGTCTGTGGAAAGCACAGACCATAAATCTAACGCATAAGCTTTCTGGGAACAAAGACAGTGACTTTCTTTGCAGGGAACTATTCATATCGTGAAAGGCAATACTACTTTCTCTTCTGAGTAACCCCTACAGCCGGTCCTCCAGGCGTCCCTTAGCCTGTAAACAATTTCCAACCTGAGAGCTGGCAGGCCCCCCTCAACGGCACTTCGCTCTCCCCTGCTCGCGTGCTAAAATCTCTGTGAGAGGGAGGTGGGAGCCATGACAGATGCATTCTGGGGAAAGCAGGCAAGTGGGTAGGTAAAAGCCAGCTGCACAGGAAACACATTTTAAATATCGGCAAGGCATGGTTTGCCCACCAGCATGTCACCACCCAGGGCAGGACCCTCGCCACACCAGAACAAATGCATTTTGCAGATGAAGCCCTAGGTTTACTGAAAGCCAAGTGAAGACAAAGCAATCTGTGACCTTGTTTGGAATGGATGCAAATCAAGGAAGCCATCGCCCCTCAGAATGTCTGGTTTCCAACAACATATTGTGCACTTGGATTTCTGGATGCTTTTTTCAGCGTTTCTTAAAGCAATGGCAGAGCACCTCACCTGCATGAGCACCGCAGGTCCCAAGTATTTGTCTCCATTCCACCAGTAGCTGGGGCAGCTGGTGCTGCAGCAGGCACAGAGGATGCACTCGTACAGCCCATCCTGTGCGGAAGGAGGAAGCGTGGTCAGGAGCCCGGGACGGAAGAGCCCATGTGTCCTTAGTTGACTAAAGGTGGTATTTGGGGTTAGAGCATGAACAAAGCATCCACTCGCATGGAAGTTTTCTTGGGAAAATCCTAAGAGTAGTTTGCAGAGATTTACCAGAGCCATTCGAAAGAGCTTGGATCTGAAATGTAATCATTTGCTGGGTTACAGCCCAGAGTTTAAGTCCAAGTACACTAAGATATGTGCCCTTGACCAGGAATCGAACCTGTGACCCTTCAAGGAGCAGACCATCTCTCTGCCAATTGATGTGTCTCTCTCACATTGATGTTTCTCCCTCTCTCTCCCCCCACCTCCTTTCTACTCTCTCTCTCTCAAAAAAAAAAAAAAATTCAATGGGAAAAATATCCTCAGGTGAAGATTAACAAACAAATAAAAATAAAAATAGACACTAACGCCCCAACAAACAAACAATACAAGCAAAATGCATTACCTACAATACAGTGTAGGAGAAGCAGCTAGGGCCTGGTGTGGAGGCCTCTAGTAGTCTATACCAGCCTCTGCCCACTCAGCACAGGAGAGAGACATCAGGTTTTCAATGGGAACCAACATCATCCTAAATAGCCAACTTGCACTGAGTACCTCATGCTCTACTGACTTCACCTTCTTTGATTATCACAATAATCCTATTAGGTTCCCATTTTACAGGTAAGGAACTGAGGCTCAGAGAGGTCAGGTCACTTGCCCAGGGTCACAGAGCTCAAGTAGCAGAGCTGGGATGGGACCCAGGCAGCCTGACTCTGGGAGCCCTGCTCCTTAACACCTGCCACACTGACTCACTGCCCAACCAGTTCTACACACCGGACTTCCAGATTCTGGGGACAGAAACTGACTAAAGGCAGCGGAACAGAAGGGCACGCCGCCATCTGAAGTAACTTGCACTGGGTTACCACTTTTATAAGACTCTCCCCTCTCCTTCTCCAGTCAAGCTTAGTAGGAACATAAGAGAACATACAGACCTCTTCTTCTCCTAAAGTTTTAGGCAAATACTCCTCAAGAGATTGAACAGTATAGTATAAGATTAGCTAAAACAAAGCAGATTCCGGTTCAGTCACCCAGCTCCTTGGTCAGATCTGTTCCTGACTCACATGACAGATGACAAAGAGCTGTTGGTCCTGATTGTAACCTTATGAGTCTTCAACAAAATCTATGTTCTGTTCAGGCAGCAGGTAAGAGTATAAACTGGCCCCACTGGTCTAGAAAGCATAAGGTAACAGGATTAAGAACCTTAATTATAGTCATATTCTTTAGTCTACTTTAGAAAAAAATTTTAAGAAGTACTCTCATTGTTCAACAACAGTAGGAATGGTTAAAGAATACACAATGTGCCCTAGCTGGTTTGGCTCAGTGGATAGAGTGTTGGCCTGCGGACTGAAGGCTCCCGGGTTCGATTCCAGTCAGGGGCACATGCCCGGGTTGTGGGCTCAATCTCTAGTGTGGGATGTGCAGGAGGCAACCAATCAATGATTCTCTCTCATCATTGATGTTTCTATCTCTCTCTCCCTTTCTCTCTGAAATCAATAAAAATATTAAAAAGAAGAAGAAAAGAGAATACACAATGTGCACACCCGAAGCAGTAGAAAGTCAAGCTCATGCTTGTGAAGAACTTCTAAGAATGTGGGAAGATGCTCAAATAAAGGAACAACGCGGACACAGAAGCATATTTACGTTTTGACCCCAGCTCCATAAAATCACGAAAAAAGTTATGTTTAGCATGTTAATTTAAGGAAGTGAAAAATGCTAAGTAAATGTTTGGTATTTAAATGAGCAAATTTTGATTATCCAGAAAACATGCTTCATTCCCTAATAACCCCACATCAAGGAGATGTTTACTAGCTACAAGCTACCCGAGCATGAGGGATGACTAGTTGGGCCAGAGTGGCCGGTTCCAACCTGGACCCTGGGATGTGTTCGACTCCATAGGAGTTAGAAGTGGGGGCTGTGCTGACTCACATCACCGTGCTGCCCCCATCGTCTCCATGTCAGAGCTGAATTCATTTATTCATTCACATAACTACTATGAATTGGTAAAACAACATGCGCCAGGGTCTTGGATCCAGGAGTAAGACACCGTCCCTACGATGGCTCAGTCTAACGGACAGGAATGTAAAGGACTCTCTTAGGATCAGCGCTCACTGGAGGAGCACACGAAGTGGTGACCATCAGAAGCACATGTCCTTGGCCCCATGCAGGCACGTGGTTGGGATCCACCTCCATTTGGTCCCCTTCCACCTCTTCCTCTCCACAGGACACAAAGTGTGCAGGAGGTAAAAGTGCAAATAGACACTTCTGAGAGGAGGGGCAAGTAGTACAGGAGAAGGAGACTAAAAACTCGGTAATAACGCCTTCACTTTCAAAGACTCCATAGCCTCACAGAGAACAGCAACTCCAAGAGAGTGTGAAGGCAATCACCAGATGTGCGATGGTAGGAGGGAACACAGAGGTTCTAGGCCCAGTTTACCATTAACGATTTCATTCCCACCTATAAAACAGTGTTAAAGTGCAACTCTGACTTAGCCGTCAACTTTCACAGAAGGGGCAGTTCCCACACTGGTTTCTGTAGAAGACAAGCATCTGCAATAGGGTAACAATCTGCTCCTTGGTCTGCTCTGCCCTTCTGGGTTCACACTACCCACCGGCCCCGAGAGCATAGGTGTCCAACCCGTGGGCGGATGCTTCTGAAGTTCCTTCCAGAACACACTAAAAGGTCTGCATCACCTCATGCACTTACTCGCCCCGACCACTCCCACCCCTTCAAGACACACTTCCTGGAAAACATCTTTGCAATGAAATTCCTCAAATTGAGATCATAAATGGGGGAAATCACCAGTTTGTCTCGATCTTCTATGGACTGCAGGTACTGCTGCTTGCCTTCCTGGGATTCATCCTTCTTCTTCAAATAAGGCTCAATGGATTTGTACTGAGCATAGAAGTTGCTCAAATCCTGAGGGCAAGAGGGAGAAGGGTCAGGTTCTACCATCCTCGCAGCTTTCTCTTCACCCATTTCTCGGCCTACTTTCCTGCCCTATGATAGACTGAAGGCAGATCCTCCTGTGGCAGGATACGGGCAGAGACTCAGAAGGGAGAAATGGTCACAATGTTGAGTGCTGTTAGCAACTCTCCTCTTCATCCCACCCACCTTTGAAAATACCCTCAGCGAAGGTGGTCAAGTACAGGGAGGTAGAAATGAAAGTAAATTGTGTATCAACTGTTGCTTCCCAATTGGTATTTCCCACATGAATTCTTTGTAGTTATGGCCAAATTCTTCGTTTCTGGGACTGTTACAATTTTGTGCCCTGTTATTTCCAAAAAATCTTCACCAAATGAGCTGCTGGAAGATCTTCCAGGCCTGTTTATCTTTCAACAGTCAAATTGCTTAGTTAAACTCAGATAGGAAAAAACTGCCCGAAAGAACTAATAGCATAACCCGAACACACCTCTCCCCCCACCCTTGCAAAAAATATGGGGACGGGGGCAGGGAGGGATGCAGAAACTCACAGGAACCAGATCCTTTATCACATACATATGTGGAAGAGGGTAGATTTTTGAGACTTTGTTGAGGTTGGTGTCAATCCTCCGGGTGCAAGCTAGAGTGTTGCCTCCATTGATGTTCATTGCACAGGAGCCACAGATGCCTGAGAGACAAATACAGCCAACATGTCCTTACCCAGATTCCGGTCCAGTCACCCAGCTTCAAGTCCTTTCCTCTGCACTGTCGCCAGTTACTCCACCACCGGGAGCAGTGCTGGCAGGCAGCACAGCTCTGGCAGAGGAGCCTGCGGCCTTTTCCCCTCCTTATCTAGAATGCAGATCTACGGGCTGTAGTTCCAAAAACATTTTGTGACCATGAGGCAACCTTGAGGGTGGGTGGCACTAGGACAGAGGAGCCTGGGATCCAGCTGGCACCACGGAGTTCCCAGCACCAGTCCTAGCTTCATGCTTCATGTATTTTGAGAGAAAAATCAGTCTGTATTTTTAAAAGCCACTCTCTGGCCATATGCTCCATCTCTGATCTCGGAAGCCACTGTTATTTGAACACAAACTCTAACAGCTACAATATCCCCAAAGAAATCAACATTGTCTTGGTTATCATATGGCTGAGGCCTGGCTACAGATTATCCAGAGGTAGCTCGTATTCTATTGTCTGTACAAGACAAGCAGCACGGAGGATATGAAACCCACAAAAGCTGCCTGAGCACTGACTTTCCAAGGAGAAGAATAAACGAATGTGAAACCAAAGCAAAGCAAAGCAAGCAGAAACGAGGTGCTGACCAAGGGACCCTGAAATGAGAATTTTCTTAGCCTGGACTCACTTCCTGTGCATGGAAATTTCCGAGGTATTTCAGAGTTTAAAATTGGCTATGCAAATTCAACCCCTGGTACTGCTTCTCTGGAGCTGTATTTTGATCATCAGGCCAGAGAAATGGGATTACTCATGGAACTTGCACTGGGTAACCACTTAAAAAAAACCACTTTTTTGGGGGGGGGTTTTACCACTTTTATAAGACTCTCCCCTCTCCTTCTCCAGTCAAGCTTAGTAGGAACATAGAGAACACACACATCTCTTCTTCTTCTAAAGTTTTAGGCAAATACTCCTCAAGAGAATGAATAGTATCGATATATTGATGCATACCTGGCACTCAACTGTGTTTCTATTTAAACACATAGCACTGTGTTTTAAAAGAAATGGTAAATAATTTTAAAAGTAAATCCAATGAATCTTCTCTTAAAAAGGCTCCCCTGGAAATTCTCTTAACAAGTAATAAGGGAGTAAAAAGGAGCGGCAATTAATTTCATCCTGCCTCGGATATTTTAGTCCAGATGGGCCACACCTGATGTTCTTGGCTCTGAGTCTGGGGGGACGAGGTGGGGGGGCGAGAAGGTTACTGAAAAGCATCTCTATTTCCTGTGTTGCCAAGATTTATGTGGGGAAAGTTGGTATTTAATTACAGCAGAATGTTCCCCGAACAGCAGGACTCAGCCCAACTATCAAAATATCTGTCAGCATTTGTTACAGTAAACCCAATCCTGTAAGATTAGCTAAATCAAAACAGATGTCTTAGAAATAGGTCTTGAAATGCACAGCAGAACAAACATAAAAAGTGATGGGCCAACATTTACAGTGACTTTTCCTTTCTGGAAGGTTATTTCAGGAAGAGAGTTCAGTCCCAGCCCTCGGTCTTGGCCCAAGCTACGCTTTTTGGTTTTCTCCCGGGTTTCCAAGCCTGTACTGCCTGTACTGTGCTGCCTGTACTGTACTGTCCGGCCTGTACTGTGCTGCCTGTACTATACTGTGCTGCCTGTACTATACTGTGCTGCCTGTACTATACTGTGCTGCCTGTACTATACTGTGCTGCCTGTACTATACTGTGCTGCCTGTACTATACTGTGCTGCCTGTACTATACTGTGCTGCCTGTACTATACTGTGCTGCCTGTACTATACTGTGCTGCCTGTACTATACTGTGCTGCCTGTACTATACTGTGCTGCCTGTACTATACTGTGCTGCCTGTACTATACTGTGCTGCCTGTACTATACTGTGCTGCCTGTACTATACTGTGCTGCCTGTACTATACTGTGCTGCCTGTACTATACTGTGCTGCCTGTACTATACTGTGCTGCCTGTACTATACTGTGCTGCCTGTACTATACTGTGCTGCCTGTACTATACTGTGCTGCCTGTACTATACTGTGCTGCCTGTACTATACTGTGCTGCCTGTACTATACTGTGCTGCCTGTACTATACTGTGCTGCCTGTACTATACTGTGCTGCCTGTACTATACTGTGCTGCCTGTACTATACTGTGCTGCCTGTACTATACTGTGCTGCCTGTACTATACTGTGCTGCCTGTACTATACTGTGCTGCCTGTACTATACTGTGCTGCCTGTACTATACTGTGCTGCCTGTACTATACTGTGCTGCCTGTACTATACTGTGCTGCCTGTACTATACTGTGCTGCCTGTACTATACTGTGCTGCCTGTACTATACTGTGCTGCCTGTACTATACTGTGCTGCCTGTACTATACTGTGCTGCCTGTACTATACTGTGCTGCCTGTACTATACTGTGCTGCCTGTACTATACTGTGCTGCCTGTACTATACTGTGCTGCCTGTACTATACTGTGCTGCCTGTACTATACTGTGCTGCCTGTACTATACTGTGCTGCCTGTACTATACTGTGCTGCCTGTACTATACTGTGCTGCCTGTACTATACTGTGCTGCCTGTACTATACTGTGCTGCCTGTACTATACTGTGCTGCCTGTACTATACTGTGCTGCCTGTACTATACTGTGCTGCCTGTACTATACTGTGCTGCCTGTACTATACTGTGCTGCCTGTACTATACTGTGCTGCCTGTACTATACTGTGCTGCCTGTACTATACTGTGCTGCCTGTACTATACTGTGCTGCCTGTACTATACTGTGCTGCCTGTACTATACTGTGCTGCCTGTACTATACTGTGCTGCCTGTACTATACTGTGCTGCCTGTACTATACTGTGCTGCCTGTACTATACTGTGCTGCCTGTACTATACTGTGCTGCCTGTACTATACTGTGCTGCCTGTACTATACTGTGCTGCCTGTACTATACTGTGCTGCCTGTACTATACTGTGCTGCCTGTACTATACTGTGCTGCCTGTACTATACTGTGCTGCCTGTACTATACTGTGCTGCCTGTACTATACTGTGCTGCCTGTACTATACTGTGCTGCCTGTACTATACTGTGCTGCCTGTACTATACTGTGCTGCCTGTACTATACTGTGCTGCCTGTACTATACTGTGCTGCCTGTACTATACTGTGCTGCCTGTACTATACTGTGCTGCCTGTACTATACTGTGCTGCCTGTACTATACTGTGCTGCCTGTACTATACTGTGCTGCCTGTACTATACTGTGCTGCCTGTACTATACTGTGCTGCCTGTACTATACTGTGCTGCCTGTACTATACTGTGCTGCCTGTACTATACTGTGCTGCCTGTACTATACTGTGCTGCCTGTACTATACTGTGCTGCCTGTACTATACTGTGCTGCCTGTACTATACTGTGCTGCCTGTACTATACTGTGCTGCCTGTACTATACTGTGCTGCCTGTACTATACTGTGCTGCCTGTACTATACTGTGCTGCCTGTACTATACTGTGCTGCCTGTACTATACTGTGCTGCCTGTACTATACTGTGCTGCCTGTACTATACTGTGCTGCCTGTACTATACTGTGCTGCCTGTACTATACTGTGCTGCCTGTACTATACTGTGCTGCCTGTACTATACTGTGCTGCCTGTACTATACTGTGCTGCCTGTACTATACTGTGCTGCCTGTACTATACTGTGCTGCCTGTACTATACTGTGCTGCCTGTACTATACTGTGCTGCCTGTACTATACTGTGCTGCCTGTACTATACTGTGCTGCCTGTACTATACTGTGCTGCCTGTACTATACTGTGCTGCCTGTACTATACTGTGCTGCCTGTACTATACTGTGCTGCCTGTACTATACTGTGCTGCCTGTACTATACTGTGCTGCCTGTACTATACTGTGCTGCCTGTACTATACTGTGCTGCCTGTACTATACTGTGCTGCCTGTACTATACTGTGCTGCCTGTACTATACTGTGCTGCCTGTACTATACTGTGCTGCCTGTACTATACTGTGCTGCCTGTACTATACTGTGCTGCCTGTACTATACTGTGCTGCCTGTACTATACTGTGCTGCCTGTACTATACTGTGCTGCCTGTACTATACTGTGCTGCCTGTACTATACTGTGCTGCCTGTACTATACTGTGCTGCCTGTACTATACTGTGCTGCCTGTACTATACTGTGCTGCCTGTACTATACTGTGCTGCCTGTACTATACTGTGCTGCCTGTACTATACTGTGCTGCCTGTACTATACTGTGCTGCCTGTACTATACTGTGCTGCCTGTACTATACTGTGCTGCCTGTACTATACTGTGCTGCCTGTACTATACTGTGCTGCCTGTACTATACTGTGCTGCCTGTACTATACTGTGCTGCCTGTACTATACTGTGCTGCCTGTACTATACTGTGCTGCCTGTACTATACTGTGCTGCCTGTACTATACTGTGCTGCCTGTACTATACTGTGCTGCCTGTACTATACTGTGCTGCCTGTACTATACTGTGCTGCCTGTACTATACTGTGCTGCCTGTACTATACTGTGCTGCCTGTACTATACTGTGCTGCCTGTACTATACTGTGCTGCCTGTACTATACTGTGCTGCCTGTACTATACTGTGCTGCCTGTACTATACTGTGCTGCCTGTACTATACTGTGCTGCCTGTACTATACTGTGCTGCCTGTACTATACTGTGCTGCCTGTACTATACTGTGCTGCCTGTACTATACTGTGCTGCCTGTACTATACTGTGCTGCCTGTACTATACTGTGCTGCCTGTACTATACTGTGCTGCCTGTACTATACTGTGCTGCCTGTACTATACTGTGCTGCCTGTACTATACTGTGCTGCCTGTACTATACTGTGCTGCCTGTACTATACTGTGCTGCCTGTACTATACTGTGCTGCCTGTACTATACTGTGCTGCCTGTACTATACTGTGCTGCCTGTACTATACTGTGCTGCCTGTACTATACTGTGCTGCCTGTACTATACTGTGCTGCCTGTACTATACTGTGCTGCCTGTACTATACTGTGCTGCCTGTACTATACTGTGCTGCCTGTACTATACTGTGCTGCCTGTACTATACTGTGCTGCCTGTACTGTACTGCCTGAAATGCACTCTGGAATCGGACAACTCGGGCTGACTCCTCACTAGCTGTGCGTCCTTTTGGAAGTCCCTACCCACTGGGCTCAGTTTCTTCACCGTACCTTGAACGTAAACAGCAGCAGCACCTCTCTATCTCACACAGAACGCACAGGACGGAGACGGGCACACACGCTGTGCTCCGCGGCCATCAGGCCAGCCGGGCCTCACGGCACCCCTGTGTGATTTTTGCCATCTACCACCTGAACAATTATTTAGGAGTTTTCTTTAAATCAAATCATTTTTACTTAAATTCATATTAAAAAACCATGTCTGTATCACTGCTACACTGTCAGCAGTAATTATGTTCTTCTAACATGTAAAGAAATACATAGCTATTAAGGTAAAAAAGGCTGGCGTGCACACTGCCGGAAATCAGCTCATGCGGCACCAGCAGCACACTATGGGACACGCTGTTCCCATCCAGAACATTCCTACTGAGCACCTGCTCTGTGCACATGTAATGCTGGGAGCTGGAGGGACGCACACGCCTCCCTGTTGGACAAATGTTACGTGCGCATAAGCACCAGTTAGACTCTCTCTACGGCCCCCGAATACATGAGCCCAGCAGAGCAGAGGCAGCCCGCTAGCACACCGAGCTAGTCCTCGAAGGCAGCAGCAGCTGTCAGGGGTCGCCAGATGCAGCAACCACGCGACAGAAAGCTCTTGAAGGGAAGCAAACTCAGAAACCAGAACTTGTGCCGGTTAAAATTTCCGACCCCTTTACCCAAGAAAAGGAAGTGCAGTGCACAGCCAGGTCAGCTGGCAGAGCCCTGCAGCTGTTCTCTAGGTATTTCTGTCAGCTCTGGCCAGCCCTTCGGGAACCAGAACGTAAGTATGCGGGGCCTACCAGGGAAGGAAGTGCTTACCTTCCCTGCAAGATCTTCGGAAGGTCAAGGTAGAATCCATTTCATTCTTAATCTTGATTAAAGCATCCAACACCATAGGACCACATCTGACCAAAACCAAAACAAGAACAAAAGAACCCAGTTGTATTTAAGTGAAGCTCACTCTCCCTACACTTTTATCATAATAAGATGAGACATCTGCCTATATCAGCTGCGTTTATTATCCACCTGGCCTTCGCGGGGCACTTACAGAATTTCCCCATTTTATTTTTGCACATTCTTACACATTTGGAGTACCGCAGAGTTCTATTTTGGTGATCACATTGAATATACATTTCTAGAAAATGGAAAGCTGAAAATATTTAGGTTAGAAAACAACTTCTACGTACTGGCAGTTTTTCTTTTTTCTTCTAAAGCTCCTTGCAAAGCTTTCCCAAATAGTTTATTTCAAATTTAAAAATTTCAAATCAAAACAATAAGTAGCTTTAAATGGTTCATTAATAATAATAATAATGCACAACCACCACAAAAACATGGAAGAGAATAAAAGATAAATCACCCACAGTCCCCTAATCTCAAGCACTGAGTGTTCCATGCGCATGGGTGCAGTGAAAGGTATAAGGGCAGCAACCCCTGCCCGGCCGGTGTGGCTCAGTGGTTGAGCATCGACCTATGAACCAGGAAGTCACGGTTCGATTCGCAGTCAGGGCACATGCTGAGGTTGCGGGCTCGATCCCCAGTGTGGGGCATGCAGGAGGCAGCCAATCAATGATACTCTCTCATCATTGATGTTTCTTTCTCTCTCTCTCCCCCTTACTCTCTGAAATCAATAAAAAGATGTTAAAAAAAGAAGAGAAACGTAAGTCCAATGTGCGAGGAGATAAAATAGAAAACATGAGTCTCTGGGGAAGCATTCGGGGGGGAGGGGAGCAGAGGTTTTGCCAGGACAGACATGAACGAGTGTGGGCTTGATAAGTGAGCACAGGGGAGCCATGGGAGGTGTTAGAGCGAGGGCTGGCATGATCAGACTGGCTGCAGAATGATCCCTTGGCTGCAAAGCAGAGGAAGCATTGGTGGGACCTCAGTTTATCTGTAAAATGGAATATTGTATCACAAGACTGTAATGAAGATTAAATAAAAACATGCAATTTTTATGTTGAGTACACAGAAGTGCTCAACAAATCTTACTGCCTGGTTGCCACCTGATGCCTCTCAGTATTTCTCTATGCATGGGATTTAAAAAATATGCCCCCTCCCCAAATACCCTTTAGCATCACCTGTATTTCCTTTTCCCCAGCTTTATGGAGATAAATCAAACGTAACACTGTGTAAATTTAGGGTGTATGATGTGACAATTTAATATATGTATATACCGTGAAATGATTAGCACAATAAGGTTAGTTAACATTTTGCATTATCCGTATTTCTATCAGCAACATGCAAACACCCTTTTCACTGTACTTTTGCCAACACTGGGAAATGTAACCTTTAAAAATCTCTGCTATTCTCAGTGTTTGAGAGCTTTGAATGCTAACTACAATGGTTGAGTATTTGTCATAAATACATTAATTTTTCTTCACTCACCAATTATTCATTGCAAGTCTTCTGTGTGCCAGGTTCCGTTCTAGGTGCTGGAGATACACCAGAGAACAAAACAGATGAAACTTCCTGCCCATGGAGGGTCACTCTGCTGGACTGATTCTAGTGAACTCAGTCTGTGCATGTTCTTTGACTCTGTCTACTGAGGTCCTGGGAAATTGTTTTTAAAGATCTGAGCTTTCTTTTTATAAAGGGAAAACTCTTATGTTTTTCTCTACGATTACTCGCTTCCAAAACTTCATTTCTCATCACCAAACATGTGGGTGTTTTCCCCATACTAAGCAATTCTGCAACATCAGCTGGGTGTCCCACAGTGTAACTCAACCACACCATTCCAGCCAGGTTTATGGTGTTTATCATTATTATATAATACATAGTCCAGATACATAAAATCAACACGAAAACATTCAGCATTCTAAAATTGATAATGTGTTAAATGACTTAAAACACTATGCATACAGCCAACTCTACCATGATTCCTAGAAATGGGTCATGCTTTGATTTGGGGGAAGAAAAAGAATTTTATAAAGTTATTCAGGCACCCACATCATTCTTGTTGTATTTGTTTTTTGTTCCTTTTCTTCTTCTCCTTTTAAAAAAATTATTATTTATATTTCCTCTCATTCTTGTTTTAAAGAGATGATAAACTCCAGAGCCACTGGATGGCCTTAGTTTTAAACCTTCCAAGGGTGTGAAAAGCACGTCCCTGAATCAGATGAAGAGCTCACCTTCACTTATCCAATACCCAGCTTTCATCGAGATACTCACTTATTCAAATCAATTTCATAAGTTTGCATACGAGGTTTATCTCCAGTTTTGTCTGGATCCCATCGGTAGATGGCAAATTTCTTGATTCGGGGAGCGGTGGCAGCAGCTGTCTGGGCCCCTCGGCAGGCCTGAAATTTAAAAAGTTCACAAGAACGATAAATAAATTCTTTAAAATGCAAGGTAAATCCTTCTACTTAGCTGCACTACAAACTGCAATACTGGATACAAACCCGCACATTACTGACAGCCTCTTGGGGAAGGCAGTCATCCAATATTCAACAAGTACTAAGCATGTCTCATGTGCTAGACATGCCAATCATATTCATTTTTAAAGTCACTATTTATTATTGCCAGGTACTGTATTAAGTGTTTTATATGAAGTATTGCACTGAGTCTGCATTTTAAAGATGAGGAAAAAGAGACTAAGTTATGGGCCCACCTTTACAGAGCTGAGTGGGGCCAGAATTGGAATCCAGGTCTGTCTGTCTGACACCACAATCCATGTTCCTAAACACTGTACTATCCTATTTACTGTGAATATTCCCTGGTCTCTTCTTGGTGCTGTCTTCTCTTTATGTCCTAAACTCCCTCAGGGCATGTGTATTAGTGTTCTCCAGAGAAACAGAACCAGCAGTGTACATATATGTGTGATATACGTATATGCGCACATACACATACATATATGTGACTTATACAGATATAAAAATAGGTTTATAATAAGGAATTGGCTCATGTAATTATGGAGGTGACAAGTCCCAAGATCTGTAGTCAGTGTGCTGGGAGACCCAGGAGAGTGGATGACAGTTCTAGGCCAAGGCCGGCAGGCTTAGGCCCAGGGAGACTTGATGTTTCAGTCCGAGTCCAAAGACAGGAAAAACCCCAATGTCAGTTTGACAGCAGTCAGACAGGAGGAATTCCCTCTCATCTGAAGGAATAAGAGGGAATTTGTTCTAATCAGCCTTTCAACTGATTGGATAGGGTCACCCACACTAGGGCAGGCAATCTGCATCACTGCTTTTCAACGTGAATGTTAAACTCACCCCAAAACACCCGCACAGAAACACCAGGATAACTCTGACCAACTATCTGGGCACCCCAGGGCCCAGTAGATGAACGGTCACAGCATGGGACAGGCTGTTTTACACCGCCCAGCATCCCTGGTCCAGGTCTTTGCATATAGCAGCTCAATCCATGGTTAGGAAAGATTGAAGAAAAGAGCAAAAATGAGTGTTATACTAATGTAAAAGTGTGTTTTATTTTAAATGCACCTTAAAAGGCTGATCAGTGCAACCTATATCAAGCCAGTAAAAATAAAGAAACACCCCTAAGTCAACGGCTAAGCCCTCCCCACCCCACAATCCTTGCAGCCCTTTTCCATTTAGGCAGAGACCACACCAAGTCCTCTAAGCTTCTACTATGGTGACGGGGAGGGGGATCCTGTCAGTCCAAATAGCAAGTATATAGAAAATTCAGACTGTATTCCCAGCTAGCTAAATAGCTTATAAATTGTTAAAGAAAGTAAAAACTCTGAAGGTTAACTGAGTAATTACAAGAAGGTACTGCTGTTTATTACTTGCTGGCGAAAAGTGTCCCAAATTAAGGGAAGCTGAAAAGAAAAATATCAGCTTTCAGTAGGAAAGAAAGTGTATGAAGAAAGTGGAAGTGAAGATGAAAGCTGTATTTTACCTTGTTACCAAGCTGGCTAGATCATTAAGAAAAGGAAAGTCGTTTTTACAAACGAACATTTTCCATGAGGGACTCCATTTTGTAAATGGACAGGAACATGTGGCTACCGCCACCTTGTGGTAGTGAAGAGGAAGTGAAAAGAAAGGATTCCTGAAGATTGCTCCAGCAGCTTTTGCTGCTTAGTTACTGCCCACCAGTGTTTTTGTTTTGGTGAGATTTAATGAGGTATAATTCATTCCATACAGTCAGGCGCCACTTAATGATGGGGTACATTCTGAGAAATGTATCGTTAGGCAAAAATGCATCTTTGTGCGAACATCACAGAGGCACTTACACAAACCTGGATGGTGCAGCCCACTCCACACCTAGGCCGTAAGGTGCAGCTTACTGATCCTAGGCTACAGCCTGTACAGCAGGTTCCTGGACTGAATACTGCAGGCCATGCAGCAGTGGTATCTGTGTATCCAAGCATAACTAAACATGAAAAGGTACAGTAAAAATACAGTGTAAAAAATTTTAAAGCCCTAGCTGGTTTGGCTCAGTGGATAGAGTGCTGGCCTGCGGACTCAAGGGTGCCAGGTTCAAGTCCAGCCAAGGGCACATGCCTGGGTTGCAGGCTCGATCCCCAGTAGGGGATGTGCAGGAGGCAGCCAGTCAATGATTCTCTCTCATCATTGATGTTTCTATCTCTCTCTCCCTCTCCCTTCCTCTCTGAAATCAATAAAAATATATTAAAAAATTTTTTTTAAAAAACACATATACTTGTACAGGGCACTGACCATGACTGAAGCCTGCAGGACTGGAAGATGCCGGAAGTCAGTGAGTGAGGGGGAAGGCCTGGGCATTACTGGACACACTGCAGACTTTATCACTCTGTCCCACAAGTCCTCCCCCTGCTTCCTTCCGACAGGGTCAGAGAGAGAACACAGAGCTGTCAACGCTGCCCCATGAACAGGGATGTGGGCTGGGTGGGAATATCGAGGAGAAACTGGCTGGGGGAGACGCCGATCACCATAACAGTGACTGTCAGGAGGGAGTGACGGTGGCCTGAGGGTCAGCAGGAATGAGAAACCAGGACGAAGGGTAAGGAACACAGGGACTGTCATGGCCACGTGGGTGGCTACTGCCTGTCGGAGCAGTGGTCAGATCAAGGAACTTTGTGGTGGTTCAGGAAAAAGAGGGTGTTATCATGAAGAGAGTGTAGGACTCAGAACTCACTGTTTTGACTTTGGAAATTTGTTTTGGGTTCCACTGGCCCTATCTGGCATAAAAGGCTCTCTCTGGTACTGAGTTGATGGAGGAAATAAAACTATCTCTGCTTTACACCATTACAACCTGACAATGTTTCCAACGTCCAGGGACAGGCTGGCCCCACAGGGAAAGGGAAAACTCTTACTGGAGTGGCCGTGGCGCTTCATACTGGTTAAGGTGCTCCTGTGGGCCTGAGTCCGTGTACAGGACCTTAGGTCCTCAACAGAGCACCTACAGCCGGGTCCTGAAGCCCATCAGCCGGGCCTGGGGGCTGCAGCGCCCTCTGAACATGCAGCGCTGGGGGACGGGCTCCTCTGGGAGGAAACAGGTCAGTGGCTGAGGGACTGGGGTGCAATCTGTGCGCTCAGAATTGAGGTGCTGTGAGCGAGAGGGAGTCTACTGCCAAGCCCCAGACACTGCTCCCGTCAGAGAAAAAATCCCCCTGAACCATAGCCTTCATTTCTTACCAGAGATTTCTTATAGAAATTCCACTATAATCCCATGGGACCACTGTAGTACATGCAGAGTGTCATTGATCTAAACATTATGTGGGCACATGATTAATTGGATGAGTTTTGATAAAGTGGAATAATTACCACAATGTGATAGATACATTTCCACCCAGAAAGTCCTCCAGGTTCTTTCACAATCAGTGCCTCTCCTTTCCCCGTGCAAATGCCCTTTTTATCACCTCAGATTTATGTGAAATTTATAAAATTTCATATAAGTGCAATCAGAGAGAACATCTGTGTCTAGCTTCTTTCACTTAACGTAATGCTTCTGATTCATCCACGATGTTGGGTATATCCAGTCTGTTGCTTTTTCAAAAAGTTAATGCTTTTCATTTTGAAATAATTGTAGCATCATATGAATTTAGAAGAAATACTGAGATCCCACAAACCCTTTACTCAATTTCCCCCAATAGTAACATTGTACAAAACTATAGCACATTATCACAACCATACAGTCAAGACGCAAAACATTTCCATCACCACAAAGATCCCTAGTGTTGCTCTTATACAGCCACACCCACGGCCCCCATGCCTCTCTCCCTTATTCCTTAACCCTAGCAATCAGAATCTGTTCCCATTTCTATAATTTTATCATTTCACGACTGTCATAGAAATGCAATCATCTAGTATGCAACCTTATGGGACTGGCTTTTTTTTCGTCCAGCATTAATCCTCTGAAGATTCAGCCTAGCTGTGTGTGCCTCAATAGTTGTTTCATTTTATTACTGAGTATGGTCCATGGTACGACGAACCATGGTTTGTTTAGCCATCCATCCACTGAAGGACATCTTGACTTGTCTCCAGTTTTTGTCTATCATGAATAAAGCTGTAACGAACATTTGTGAATAGGTTTCTGTGTGAGCGTTAAGTCTCAATTTCTCTGGAACAAATGTCCAGGAGTGTAATTGCTGGGCTATATGGTAGTTGCATGTTTATTTTTATGTTTTAAATATATTTTATTGGTTTTTTTTACAGAGAGGAAGGGAGAGGGATAGAGTTAGAAACATCGATCAGCTGCCTCCTGCACACCCCCTACTGGGGATGTGCCCACAACCAAGGTACATGCCCTTGACTGGAATCGAACCTGGGACCCTTCATTCCGCAGGCTGACGCTCTATCCACTGAGCCAAACCAGTTAGGGCTGCATGTTTATTTATTTTTTTTTAAGAAACTGTCAAACTGTTTCCAGTGGGTGGTCACTGTGCTAAGGTAGGTGGTAGGAGGAAAGGGACAAAATGCCTTTTAAAAAATATAAATTTAAAAGTTTTTAACCTGGGAATTTGGGGTTGTCAGCTATGGTTCTAAAGCCTGATGTAATAGTATTACCAGTGGGCAATAGGCATCTGGTTTGATCCAGTTTGGGTTCACTCTCACAAGGCCTGTCAAAGACCACGGTTACCTGCAATGCATCCCAACTTAACACCTCTTTCTAATACTCAAATGCCCGCTTTATATTCACTCTACAAAGGTCTTGACTGGACCACGAAGATTTGCCCCAAAGGGGTTAGGTTTATTTAGAAACCATTAAAAAAGTTCTTATCAAATGAATGTGAGACAAAAGCCATGCAAGGATGCATCACAACAGAGTATCATAAGCAGTAAACCCCAAGGTAAGTTTTGGGGTACCCCAAAGTATCACTATTTTTTCAAAACAATTAATTTAAATTCATTTTGAGTTAAAAACCTATTTTATACAACACTTGGAGGGGTGAGGGGAAGTTAACAGGAACGAGGAGAGGAGATTTGAGAATCGAAACGACCAGAGGAGGCTGTGGGTCTAAAAGTGATGGAGTTTTGCTCATCTTGAGGGCTGAACTAAAGTTAATCCACAGCATTATGGCAGCTGTGAGTTAAAAAAAATTATCTGAATAGAGAAATCTAAACATTTGTTCTCTAGGTGTTCATAGTAGAAATAATAACAATAGCTTTCACTCACTGAAGCCTGATCATGTGTCAGACATTGTACTAAGTCAGTGATTTTCAACCGTTTCATCTCATGGAATGCCAAGACAAAATTACATTATATTTTTTGCTGGCCTGACCAAAAAAAAAAGGTAAACTAAAAAAAAAAAATCCTCATCGAGGACATGCTTAGAGAGAGTAGTAAAAATGCAAATCCCAAACAGAACAACACAAAGAGAGAATTTCTTTTCCCAAACAGATCCAAAAACAATAGAAGTCATACAATCAGCAAGATCTTGGTGGTAGATGTTCTAGACATACTCATTCACTTATCTGTTCAATAAATAATCATGGAGTGGCTTCTATGTTCCAGGGACTGTTCTAGGCCTGGGGTCAAGGACAAAACAGACATACATCTCCACCCTCACGGAGCTTACACAATGAATGGAGGAGACACACACATAAAATCTCTACTATGTCAAGCGGTGATAAGTGTTATGGAGAGAAAAAAGGAGGGGGAAGGAGATCCTGGCTACAATTTCTATCTTTCGCTTTTATTGATTTCTCTTTTTTACATCGTTTGCTTCCTGTTCACGCCCTGACTGAGGATCAAACCCGCCACCTTTTGGTGTATGGGACGACGTTCCAACCAATTGAACCACACAGGCGAGGGCAATTCTACAATTAAAAAAAAAAAAATTCAGAGATGGAGAGAGAGAGAGAGAGGGAGAGAGAGAGAGAGAGAGAGAGAAACACATCAATGATGAGAGAGAATCATTGATCGGCTGTCTCCTGCATGTGCCCCAACGGGGGCCGGGGATTGAGCCTGTAACTGAGTACATGCCTCTGACCGGGAATTGAACTGGAGACCCCTCAGTGTGCGAGCCCATGTGGACAGCTATCTTTGAACGAGTGGTGGGATGCAGAGGACGAGTGAAGGGGGAACTGCCAATTCTCCCACAGTAACAGGAAGGAAAGGAGACTATATGGGCAAAAGCAGGGAGGTTTTCCCCCTTTGTTGCCTATCAAACAATTTACTACAAACCCATGACAGAGGAGGGTTTTTCAAAAGCATTTCTACTTCATGACTCAGTGGTTGATCGTCAACTTATGAACCAGGAGGTCATGGTTCAATTCCTGGTCAGGGCACATGCCCGGGTTGCACACTCAATTCCCAGTAGGTAGCCGATCAATAACTGTCTCTCACCATTGATCTCTCTCTCTTCCTATCTGAAATCAATAAAAAAATATATATTTTAAAAGTATCTCTCCTTTAATCTACAAAACTAATGAGTACTCGAGGCTGAGTGTACCTTGGAAAAAATTAACTTCATAGTTTATCGTTTAAGGAAGGAAGATAACAACTGGACTGAACCAAACTGAGAAGAGTGAATTCTGATTCATGCTGAAGGCTGCTTGCTATTCCTTTAGGACAGCGGTTCTCAACCTGTGGGAGGCGACCCCTTTGGTGGTCGAACGACCCTTTCACAGGGGTCGCCTAAGACCATCCTGCATATCAGATATTTACATTACGATTCATAACAGTAGCAACATTACAGTTATGAAGTAGAAACGAAAATAATTTTATGGTTGGGTCACAACATGAGGAACTGTATTTAAAGGGCCAGAAGGTTGAGAATCACTGCTTTAGGTCCTCAACCTAAACAAAATACCACAAAATGGTCCTCAACAAAATACCACAAAATACCAACTTCTGCGCATGGGCCACGAAGTTTCAATCGCACTCTACGTGTGCGCCCGCACGTGGTATTTTGTGAAAGAGCCACACTCAAGGGGCCAAAGAGCCGCATGTGTCTCAAGAGCTGCAGTTTGGCGACCACGGCTTTAGGAGATTCCTCAAGAAGCAGGCTTGGAACTAGTTAGAGCAGATTCAGATTTGGAGATAGGAGAAAGGTGCGCAAATGGAGAGGAGGAGGGCAGATCTGTGTAAACCTGAGTAAAACCTGAGCCTTGCTTCTGAGATGAAGGGAGATGTGTGCAAAGTTTCAGAAATGTGTGGCCAGGTTCAAATCCAAGCTCTAGTAGCTGTATTTTTTTTTTTTTTAATTTTACTGATTTGAGAGAGAGAGAGAGAGAGAGAGAGAGAGAGATATTAACTTGCTGTTCCACCTACCCATGCATTCAACAGTTGATTCCCCTATGTGTCCCGCGTGGAGATCGAACCTATAACCCTGGCGCACTGGGATGACACTCCAACCAACTGAGCTACCCAGCCAGGGCCAGAAGCTGTGTGTTCACTGGCATATTAGTTAACCTCTCTGATTTCATTTCCTCTTTTGTGAAAGGGTAGGGCTTATTAAAATCTACCTCATAAGATTAACTGGGGGGGGGAGGGGGGGGGTGAAGCTCTAGTATAGTCCAGAAAATGATCTCTACTTTCCAATACTGGCAACATTATCAGTTTTTGTACTAATCTGATTGGCAGATAGGTATCCGAAGCTCTGCCAGTGCCAGGAGCAATGAGATACACACCTGAAAGTAGGTGGTACTTGCCCTGAAGGAGTTCATCGTCTGGATGAAGAAATAAGGCAACACAGAGAACAACTGATCACTTACAGGCCTAACGGTGTTCAGCGGGGCAGACTAGTGCATGAAAGGAATTCAGACGAGAAACCACACTGTGTTCTAGAGTCCTAGGAGCCTGAATATCACCCACCGGCAACACCGCATTCATTACTGAATTCTTTTGCAGTGGCTTTTGCGGAAATGAATGCACATTCCTACAGGGGGGAGGGGGGGCGACCCTTCTGTTTTCCTGCCCTCAGGAGGCCCTACAGCAGCCTCACCGGGAATGACAACACTGACCTGTGAAACTAGCCCTCTCTACACTGCGTTCTTGGGAGAGGGACGAGCCATACAACTCACTCTCATTGGTGGGGCTCTCACCGCCTAACTGCTTGCTCAATGGTGATGAAAGGGACTGGTAAACAAGGCCATTACCAGCCATCAATTTAATGCTCAGAAGACACCAGCTCGAGGCTCTGGTCCGCAGTCCTCTTTCCTATTTCCCCTTCTCAGACTATAAAAGGAACGTGTCCAAGCCCACCGACAGCACACTGGGAAGAGCCAGCATTAGAAACAGGCCATGGGCATGGTGTTATGCAGCCGGAGCAGGTGCTTGAAACGAGAGATATTCTCATCTGAGTGCAAGAAAGGCAGAGGAAAGGAACCGGTACTCCCCAGGCACCGACCACATGCCCAGATCTGTGCTAGGAGGTCCTCACATTATGATGTAAACAACAACAACAAAACTGGATTTAGATCTGGACCTGCCAATTCTTGGCCATGACATTTTGAGTGCCGGAAGCCAGTCCATCCTTGCTGCTTGACACAGTCGCTGCAGGGAAGAAACATCTGCACAGCATATGTTTCAAGGGACCTGGCGAATATGGCATACTGTTCTTAATATGTTTGCTCCCCTTCTTAGCACTATGTGTTTTAACCAAGGTCACCTCTCCGAGAAAGGTTGTTTCCCCAGGTGGGATTTTCCCCTGGAGTTAGGGATTAACAGGACTAAGGAAGGGAATAAAACCCCTTAGCTAAGTGCCAGGTGGGTAATTAATCACTTTAACTACGAACAATCACTTAGGATAATAATCTCCTTCAGTTACTTCCTTATAGCTTAACAGAACAATAGAGTAGTGACTTTGGAATGGAGATAACAAATGCCCTAACCTTTGGAATAGAATGGATAGGATTAAAATCAACTGGTATAAATACAGATGTAAAAGGACAATAAAGACAGAACCTGGCTGGAGAACCTGGACAGAACCTAGCTAGAGAGAACCTGGCTGTAGAACCTGGCAAGAGAGACCAACTATGCTGATCAACTGAACGCTGCCTCCGTGTCATTCCTTCTTTGCCGACTCCGTCCACACCTTTGGGAACCCCTGGACCTGTTGGGGCTGGACCCAACAGGGTTGAGCAAGCAACACATTTTCTTCCTGATGCCTCCGTTTTCAAACCTCTCGAAAGGAGGTGAGAATCCCTGCTCGCCACCTTAACGGGGCTGGCTGAGGAGCCCAGAGGAGGTGGCAGGCTTGGAACGGATTTGCAAATCCTTAGTCCCTTAGGCGTGCAATGGCAGCTTCCTTTCCCCTCCTGCATATTCCCGTTTAGGATGCAGACCAGAAGGATGCAGCTTCCTGACAACACAAGAGGCCGGGGAGACCGGCACACGGAACAGAATCCGTGGGAGCGGCGCGAGCTTCGGCGATGTGCTCCCCGCCCAGCCTTTGCGAGGTCGGTACTGCTGTGCGCCCTTCACAGGCGGGGCGCCGAGCGGGACCTGCTGTACGGAACCGAGTCCGGCCCGCAGCCCATAGGCAAGGGTCCGGGTCCTCCAGGGGCTGGACTTCCTTCCAGTCTCCTCTCCCCTCTCTGTCCCCAAGGATTCACTTGCCCTGTCCTTTCCGACCCCCGTCCAGACCTCTTTCCTGAGCCCCCCGCCTCGCGTCCCGCAGGAGGGACCTGGCGCCCCGGTCCCCACTCCTCCCACCCCGCAGAGGAGACAGTTGGGCGACGGAAAACGGGCTGGGAGCCCAGATGTTTGGGATCGCGTTTTGCTTCCATCAGTCACGCACTTGCCATGTGACCTTGGGCGGTTCAAGTCCCTTCTCTGAACTTATTTCCAAAAATCGGATTCCTCCTCAACCACTCGCAGGCCGCGACAGGTGCAGCAGCTTGACAGGGATAAATCAGAGCACCGCGCAGGTGGGAGCGGCCCTCCCCTCC